GGCATAAGGAAGAATTTCTTTACTGTCCGAGCCCCCAAGGTCTGGAACAGCCTGCCACCGGAGGTGGTTCAAGCGCCTTCATTGAACACCTTCAAGATGAAACTGGATGCTTATCTTGCTGGGATCCTATGACCCCAGCTGACTTCCTGCCCTTTGGGCGGGGAGCTGGACTCGATGATCTTCCGAGGTCCCTTCCAGCCCTGATGTCTATGAAATCTATAATCAGTATGGGTAGGAAAGTAATCGTATAAAGTAAAAACTAGATATTTCTATTCTATTTGATGAAAGGCTTCATTATGTAACAATGAGTTCTTAGCTGCTCTTGCCTTTTGCTATCACATCAAAACACTACAATCTAAAGTCTCTAGGGCTAGGGACAGAAGTTAACCGGGTTAAGTGATCAGAAACTGGTTTAAACCTGTAACAGATCAGATGTTCAGTGCACATAAACCAGTTTCAAAATAGCTGAAACTTATTCAAGATAAACCTGGTTGAATGTAGTATCAAACTTAACTGATTTGGGTCAAACTGGTTTATGAAACTTCTGTCCCACACCCCTCCCTCCATAGTCCCCTAGCATGCTTTTCAGCCCTGGGCTGGGCTGTGCTGTCTGCTCCAGCAGAGAAGGTTTGGGTGGGGGAGAGAGAGGTGTGGCAGGGACTGACTCTCTCCCCCCACAAAGCAAACCCCGGCTGGGATCTGGGACCAGCAAGGGGAGTTAAACCCACCTTCCCCCAAGTACAGAGCTTCCCTGCTGCTAAACATACTGAAACTTACTGCTGGCTGTGACTGTGGGTTAAAAATCCCAGAGGCACCTGGAAGCAGGAAGATGCAGTGATGAGCAACCCTGCAGAATCCTGCTGTTGTGATTCTGGACTGCAAATCCCAGAGACCTCGGGGGCAGCAGGAAGAGTAAGCAACCACACAGCCCATGATGGCTATGTGCGAAAGAGCTGTGCTGTAGTGCCCCCCAGTTTCTGGCCTGAGCCACTGCAGGCACGTAGCTGCATTTCCTGAATTAAAAGTAAATGTGTGTCCAGTTGTTTCTCAGTTTAATCTCTGCAGCTTAGACTAACCTGCAAAGACTGAATCAATTCAGCCTCGGACTTTTTGATTGTCTGTATTTAGCCTTTAAGTCTAAGCGTATGGGCATACACGCATTTTGGAACCATTTTCACCAGTGATTCATTCAGTGTTAAAGCCGAAGCAGCTTTGTTACATTTAAACCATTCTGAGCTGGACCACGCACAAGTCAGAACATAGCAGCTGTCACCCTTTTAAAATGTTCCCATTTCAAGATGGCTCCAAATGTACTTGTGTCCATTCCCTCTATCTGCTCCTCATCCCCTATAGACTGTTTCTCAACTCTCCCATGCACACCACTGTTCTCTCTTCTACACCCACTCCCTATATGCTCATACCCATCTCTTCATTTATAACATTCTTTCCAGGCCATAATGTTTACAAAACGATGTAATATTTAAAGAAGAACTAGTATAGCAATCCATCACTGGTAAAACTATTTCAATAACTGTGACCCACAGTGTGTGTACAGAGGGGTGGAGAGCAAGAAAATAGAGACTGCCAAATAGTCCAAATTTTACAAGGCCTCATGAAGTCTGAGGTTTTTACTAACCTCGCAAGCTATTTCTTGCATTGGCAAGTTCCACATCTCAAAGCTGTGTTGATGAGTCTATATATTTGGTAATCTCAGGGAATCTTTTCCCTTCAAAGGTGATTCAATTTAATACAAGAGTGATCTAGCTAAGGAAAGAATGTGTGTTATAGAATAAGATGGAGGAACATGTTCCCTCTAATACATTTTACCAGCTATTCTGGCACAGTGGGAAACCTTTTATATTATGCATCTATTTTACATTTGCACTAGTCCATTTATATCAATGTTGTCTATAACATTTTGTATCATTGTATTTGTCCTTTTTCCCCTCTACAATTATTCTTTCTTCTGTACATAATTTTGGTTTCTTTATTCCAAGGCTCTCCATAGTTCAATAAGTTTCAAGAAATGGATTTCAAAATAAATCCTGTGATTTCAGTATATTCTGAAGTTGTCCTTTATTTGGAATGGCAAAATACAAACAACACTATGTTCAGGAAAATCTCTACAAGGTGCTGTTAAGGGAAGTATATTAATATGCCATTCCTTATGCATCATAACAGCATTCAAAAACTATGTGCACTCGTGTTTCATAAACAAACTATGTAACAACTATGAAGAAGACAAGCATAACTTTGGCATCGTGATGCCTTCAGTTTGTCAGCCAGTGTCTCCTCGTTTGGCTCTGGTAGTCGATAGTTCTTTGTAGAGGGGGTAAGTTGCTCTGGTTTAGCCTTCACATACCACAGGGCAAGGGTGGGCAGACAGAAAATTACGGTGGAGAAAGTGTTCAGTGGTAAGTTCCCATTTTTTTACCTCGCTGTACTTTGTTCATTTGTCTATAACCTAAGTCCCATTGACTTTCAATGTGACTTGAGTTTCTAAATGCTGAAATCACTTTTGAAAATGAGACTTAGGCCCTAACTGACTCAGTCACTTTTGAAAAATCTTACCCTTCTTCCTATGAGGAGATGAGTTTTCTGTTTTCCCACTGGAGTCAATGGAGAAATTTAGATTGATTGCAATGGGTGCAGAATAAGGTCTACAGGGTTTAGCACATGGCTGGACCAGACATGACATTCAGGCTAGGGACAGAAGTTACACAAAAACCAGGTTAAGTGATCAGAAACTGGTTTATACCTGTAACAGAACAGATGCTCACTACACATAAACCAGTTTCAAAATAGCTGAAACTGATTTAAGTTAAATTTGTTGGAATGCAGTATCAGACGTAACTGATTTGGGTCAAACTGATTTACTAAACTTCTGTCCTAGACCCCTTCCTGATTCAAGTTAAATCACAGCCCCCAAGCATCCCAGCATGCTTTCCAGCCCTGGGCTGGGCTGTCTGCTGCAGAGAGCAGGGCTGGCCCCGCCCCTCTGTCCCTAGCTGGAGCAGTGAGAGCTGGTTGACAAGCAGGTATGGGGGGCAAGCCTGGCTAGGGAGGCAGCCTAGTCTACAGGAAAGGACTGCCCCCACCCCAGGCAAACCGAAGCTGGGGTCTGGGGCCAGGGATGGGGTTTAAACACCCCTTCTCCTGCTCAAACTTACCGCTGGCTGCAACTGTGGACTACAAATCCTAGAGGCACTTGGAAGAGGAAGTGACGAACAACTCTGCAGAGTCCTGCTGTTGTGATTGTAGACTGCAATTCCCAGAGACCTCGGAGGCAGCAGGAAGAGGAAGTGAGCATACAGCCAGAGAGCTATGCTCTAGCACCTCCCGGCTTCTGGTTTGAGCCACTGCAGGTATGTGGCTGCAGTTCCTAAATCAAAGGTAAATGTCTGTTCACTTCTGTTTCAATTTAATTGGTACAGCTTAGACTAACCTGCAAAGACTAAATCGATTCAGCCTTGGGATTTTTGACTGCCTGTACCTAGCCTCAGAGAATTGAAGAGTGCTCAGCATCTCACATGATATTAAGATAACACCTAACATCTTTGGTCCTTTGGAACTGAATATTATTATCGTATGAAAGACATGACATATTTAAGCCATATGTTGCACCTTGATAGTGACAGCATCCAAATAGCAAGGTAGGAGTGACAACCCACTTCCCCACAAACCAAATCTGTGAGCAGTCACCATTTTGTAGAATGTTTTAGCTAGAGGGCCTAGATAAGGACTTTTTAAAATGGGAATGAGCACTAAAAAGGGTCCAATTCATAATCCTGCCAATTGAGCTGAGTGTTTCTTCTTGATTTTCAGATGTTAGGCATGTTTGTATGTTTTTCCTCATTCAAATAACAGCTCTGTTGAATGCATTGGTATAAAATAGCAGAAACTGGTCAGTTTTGGCAAGCAGACAGCTGCCACAGAAGACTCCCTGCCTGGCCCTGTAAAAGCCGCCTGTGTGCCAAGCTTGCGCAAGAAGTTGAGGCTAGATGCTTACACAAACACCACAGTCATCAGATGAACCTCTCTCCTGGAGCCTGCACATCACTTTCAGTGTTTATGGGGCTGCTCTTGGACCACTGTCCTGCCTTTTCCCATTTTTGCATCCTCTGCCCTGCTCTGTATTTTATCCAGCAGCAGCCTAGCTCTCTCCCTCTCCATTCTCCTGCCTTAGTGAGACTTGATATCACTGCTCTCTCTCTGACTGTCTCCCTTTGCTAGATTTTAAGACCCCCCCCCTCCCGCATTTAATATACATTAATATGCTTGGCTCTTTTCCTTTATCATCCAGCGTGAGAGCAATTTTTAACTTTAAAGCGTTGCTTTTGGTGATTTTTCTGTAATATTGTTTTCCTTTCTTCTCATAACTCCAAAAAAGCATCACATCATCACATCAATCTGCTCACTGCACAGGCTAAAGGTTACTCCTTTCCTTTCCTACCTCCTCCCTCCGAACTCTTGAAACAAAGCATTACCATAGCAACGGCCACTGCTGCTCCCTAGATAAGGCGTGCAGAAGCACAGAGCAGCAACAGCAGAGGAGAAAGTTCCTGCTCCAGCGAGCCCTGACTTCATATCACACCCATCCCAGATCCTTTCAGCTGGTGGTAAGTAGTTTGGCCATACCTTTTGCTTTTCCTTGCGGAACCCCCTTCTTAACTTCACTTGTCAGGATCAAGATAGGTACAATCCTTTGATATTTTTTTACCTGCACTTAAGTAATCTGTGTTATCTATACCTATGCTGGGCTAGCAGTAAAGTTCAGAATCTAGTTACTCTGCAGGATGGATTTTTGAGCAGAGGAAAGATATGATGCCATATGGTAAAAGTTGGAGCTAGTCTGTGCTGCAAATTGGAAGGGTGGAGCAGAGGGCATTGCTTTAGAGACAAATGTTTCAATTACTTTTAACTGCAAGATTATTTCATGAACAAGTTGTGCACATTGACAGAACAAGAAATATGATTAGAACTTTATCCAGCTAAAAAAGAAATGATATGCACAGGATATGTTTTCCCTTACATATAGTAGGGAACTTAATGCGGCAAGTTTTTACATTTCTAATCCTCCTGAAGTACAACTTTGTTGTCAAAATCTAAGACAAATTTATTCCACATTTGATTCATGGAACCATGAACTTTGGATCAGGCCCTCTATATTAACAGCAGCTAAGCTTTGCAGTCAGTGACAGTCTTCTCATGGGCTTCAATGGACTGTGGATCAGATCTGTAAAAGACGTTGTACTTTATTGGAGGGTGCAAAATAGACATGTGGGTAAGTGGAACACAGGGAGCTGTTAATTGGAGTTTTGGGTGAACAATGAATATAAGGGCAAGAATTTAAACACATATTGTGTTTCATACAGCTGATATATCTCAAGGCTGCTTGATAAAAAAAAAATAAAAAAAACAGACTACTTTGATGGAGTTGTTTGGAAATAACAGCCCTGTGCTAAAATAAAGAACTGCAGGAGAAACTTTAGACTGTATTATCAGGGCTTGACTCAGAGGAAGTTACTCTTAGAAGGTGGCTTTTAAACCACATTGATCAAAGTCCCAGTGAAGAATTTCATTCTGAGAATTCATTATAAAAAATATCCTATCTTCTGGTGCATGGTGTGATTCCCCACACTAGAAAACATTTTGCACACGTATCGTAATTCAAGAAACCAACAATGGATTTAATTTTTGCAGATAGTAGATAGTCAAGGTATATAAGAAAGAGATCTGCTCTTTCACAGATATGGCTTTTGATTAGAGGGTAATCGATCATCTGGGGCAAGATTTGCATTGCCTTGCTCTTGGAATAGTCATTCTCAGCTCTGCCAAGCATGGGCGACTGGTGCCTTTTGAGTCATGGGGGACACATGTCCCTCCAGTGACCAGTCAGCGACTGGGATGGGGGGTCCCCCTGCGACCAATCTTACTCACCAAAAAGTGGCCACAGGACTTCCGGAAGTGGCTGTGGTTGCTTCTGCTGGTGGCCCAGTTCCCCGGCTGGCACTTGTGCACCACCTGGGAGCGTGGCCGCTTCACCTGGTGGCTCTGCTCCCCAGCCAGGGAGCGCAGGAGGGGGGCACCAGCGCTCCCACCTGCCCCCCTGCCCATTGCCTAAGCGGTGAGCGTGGCCATCAAAGGGTGCATCAGTGCTCTCAGGGGGTGTACATGCACCCCTGTTGACCCCCTATGCGTTGCCACTGCTGCCAAATGAGTCCACAGTGGTCATAAAACACTGTGATGGTAGCATTTTGGCAGAGGTGTAAATGATTATACAAGGTACAAAAGAAATGGGCCTATGGCTCTGTACCCTACATTGCTCTACCTATCATTTTAGATGGGGGAGACCACAGGCCAACAGACAGATGCATTCCTTCCCAAGAAGGTGGGCAGAAGGCAGGGGACAAGCAGGGATTGAGAGTCTGTCCACCTTGCTAGTTTCTGTGATGGCCAGCAAACCAGGGCCAACAGAGAGGGGGAAACACTAAAAGCAAATCTGGAGCAGTTTACTGTCTCCTTCTAATAGGGTTAGAGTGTTGTTGTAGCTGTGATGGTCTGGGAAATGTGTGAGAAGCAAGGGGTTCTTTGTAATATCTTTTATTAGACCAACTGCATGGTTGAAAGAGATGTTAGACAAAGTTGAAGCAAGAAGAAAGGACCAGGCTGTGACTCTCAGGAGTCCTGGTCTGATTCATGTCCTGCCCCTGGGGGCAGTCAAACTAAGTGCTGCCCTTTATTCTGGCTAGATAGTAGGGTTTCAGTCTAACCTTTGGCTTGTTGGTACACAGGGCAGCAGGCTATAAAATATTCATAGTTCCCATTTACAGCTTTGTAGTGCATCAACAGTAGAGAGAAAGGAATTGCCAGTTCACAGACACACAAAAACCTGCCTTCTCAAAATTCAAATTTGATTCTTGAAATAAATCCCTGGCTGGTAGCCCTTGCTCACACAAATAGTTCCTATTGAAATGAATGTCTGTGAGGATTTTTTTCAGCGGCTTCAGTGAAAGCAGGATTCGTCCCAAAGTGACTACACATAAAAAGGTGAGGTTTTCATCTCTTCCATCTTCCTTTGCTTTTCTTGTTTAAAAAGGGAAAAAAAACAAACAGGGAACTAACCTTGTTTAACAAAGCTTCTCCATAAGCATCCCCCCTCCTTCCCCCTAATATAATTAAAACCCGAAGAAAAATATATTGGGTAATTACAGAATAGCCTTTTCCCTTAAAAACACTGGGCAAAAGTTCAGATTAATTATTAGCAAATTATATATATTAATTAAGTGTACTGAGTCCAGAGAAAGCGTACTTCTGTCAAAATTGTTTCTATGGTAATATATTATCAGTTAGCAGAATAAATATTCATATTAAATTTGCATTACACATCACCATATAACAAAAGAATATTATCAAAAAGCTGTTGTTTATGCACTATCCAAGACAAGGTTTCAAAGGTCTCCAGTGATTACTCACGTGTAAAACACTGGAGTGTCTCTCTAATGCTTCTTAGTAACTACACTGCTTATGGGAACAGAGCATCTCTCAGGTGAATAAATGTCCAAATGCTTACGTAGAGGGCCACATTTTATTGAAGCATTAAGATGCATGCCTTAAAGTAAAGCTTGCACAGCACAGTGTGCATGGCAATGCATACTAAATCACTCTCCAGATGTGGTAGGGTCTGTTGTCTTCTAAATGTACAATTAGCTTCTGTTAAAAACTAATGGGCAGTACAGCTATGGATTAAATTCTAATGTCATATAAATAAGAATGGACCTGTTGGTGTGTCATTGCCAACTGGACCCTCAGGCCCAGCTAGGCACCCTAAAGGTGCCTAGTTCCCACTAACTTAATTGGAAGGTACATGCCTTTGTGGATCCTGGGTGTTATTACTTCTAAGACTTTTTAAATCTTCTTGTGGCTATGATAAATAAAAAGTCTTGGTCAGCTTTAAGCATGTATAACTTAAGGGCTTGACCCTCAAAGATGGATCTGTGCTACTTGAGCATGAAGTAGCAATATTCAGCACACACACTGGCCCCTTGCACGACTGGCTCTGTGTACAAACTTGCAGTTTGCATGACTTTTCAGGGAACTGTGCAAGGAAATAGGGCATGTGCAATTTTTCAGAGCTTTCTTTGAAAGGCTTTAACTGACCTAGGTATTTTTGTTTTGTAAATTAACTTCTGTTGCAATGTATTTGTCTCAATTATTTATTGGATGTACATTTTTTGCTATCTTTATACAGCAACATTTACAAAAGTCAAGATGTGCTAATATCAGAACCAAAATGCCCAAACCTCAGGTGTCATTCAGGGGTTCTGAATCCACTGCCATCCTCATATGAGAATCTAAATCTAGAGTCCTATTTATTTGTTTCACTCTCAAATACTGCTAAGGGTGATTTTTCTTATGAAAATGTATACCCAAAAGATGTATACTTTTCATTCCATCCAGGAAGAGCACACACCAACTGCTGAAACTTCCTTAGCCTGATGAAGGGTTTTTGAAGGCGAAAGCTTGCTTAATAATTATTTCCCAACTATTTGGGTTGGTCTAATAAAAGATATCAGATTCACCCAAGGAACCTTGTCTGCCTATACCCAAAAGATGCAAATTATATGTGGTCCCCTGAGATTTCTATCATTCCGGACAAATATCCCTGAGAACAGCAGTTGAATCTGACCCTAAGGGTCCACCTGGATATGTAAAACTAAAGCCTGGCTTATCTCAAATCTATATAAGAAACAACTTTATTTGACAGTCTCTGTGTAAAACACATTTATATTTAATTGACAACTCGACTAGACTTCCTTCAAGTGACTACTTCACTCAAAATGTTAATTTCATCAGTAAAAGTAACATGTAGATGAACTCTGAACACAACATTATTGCAGGATTTTCGGATGTTGTCCACAGAGCTATAATAGCAAACTTAATGATAGAGGATAAAACATTCTTGATGTTTCTCAGCAGCATCCCCAACTTCTGCAAACCTCTCCTTTGGGTTTACAATGACTCAGAAAGTGAGCTGATCCCCTCCTAACAGGGGCCGGGTGACTTGCTCTATTCAGAGTAACTGGCTTTTCATTCTACCTTACCACTTCTCCCTCTTCCCTTTCTATTTAAGTTTTATGCTATACATTATTTACAAACCAAAAACTCCCTTCAAAACTGGAACTTGCAAGCCAGATATGGAAGGCCCCTTTGAGGACCATCACTCCCTGACTTTTTTCAGCCCAAAGAGAGAGAATCCAGATAATTCTTTCAACTGCATGTCTCTAAGGGAGGGTTGCAAAAACTAGCAATCCAGCTCAAAGGCATCAATCTAAATGACTGTAGAATCCTAATTCTGATAGAAAATCTGTATCCATTCAGTGACTGCTTGATTTACAACTTCAGTGACCATTAGAGATGCTCAAAGGATGAATTTGGGGTTCTTACATCAGTGCTCATGGCACTGGGCAAAGAAATCTTAGTCCAACCTGTAAAAAAAAAAAGAGTAATTTCCTGATACAGAGACTGATGTTTAGCAGGCTACAGCTTGAAGTCCATGAACTCCAGCTGAAAACTATGATCATATTTGAGCAAAGGAATGCATATAATGCTAATTTGAAGGAAGCTCTTAATGATTTGTAGTAGTCACCAAATTTTTTTCCCATTCAGAATTTGTAAGTGTTATTCAAAAATTCATTATCTGGATGGTGGTAACTGATTTGTCAAAGCATTGCTAAAATTTATGCAGTATGTCCAGACAAATTCTGCATAACTTTCCCTTCTGAACAATGAATCCCACTGAGGTGTTCTTGTGATGTAACAAAGCACTTCTCAGAAAATCCAGGTCACATACAAAGAACAAGAAATCAGTGACTGACCCTGACAGCTTTATAACCACTACAAAATATCTTGTAAGCTTTGCTTCCTTTGTGACGTTTATAGTTGTAATGGGTTGTCCTAGGATACATGAATCATCAGCTCCATATTTATTGCAGGGCAAAAATCAGAGACCTAAACTCCATTATTTAAAAAATCTTAAAGATGCTGAGCACTCAATAACACAAAAAGCAGTCAGGAAAGAAGGAGTCTTAGGGCCTTAATTTTAAACTTTTTTTGTTTGGAAACTCTCAGCTTACACTACACAATTACTTTTTAGCTTTGCACATATGCTTACTTTGATGTTTCTGTGTAATGTATATGCAAAATTGGATTTTTTTTTTAGGTTATAACTCAAATAAGTATCAGTTATCTGAATTCTTAAAGGCAATTCCTTTCAGTGAATGCTATTGCCATATGAAACAAAAATGCTTTATCTCCAGCTGTTTTGGTACCAAAGCTGTTCAAAATAAAGTCTAATTTTTCAGTCTGCACATAATCCAAAATGGCATTGAATGTTTTCACTCAAAACTTTCCTAACAAGTTCACCTTCAGTAAAGAACTACTACAAACCTAGAAGCATTAATCTGGAAAGTAGAAAGTGCTGGCAAGTTATAAGTAACTTTGACAGAGAGCTGGAATGGAAACACTGACGCCAAGTTACCTACAAGAGTTCTTGCTTCTCCCACTATAATAATATTTAGTTAACTGCTAAGGTACTCTCTCAAAAAACAAATGGCACATAAGAAGAAAGAACAGCTTCTCATTCAAATTACAAAATGGCTTTTCAAGATTTCCCAGCAATGTCATCTAGTATCCCAAGAAAACAGAGTTGTGTTTTAGATACAACTTTTACTGGTTGTTTTTTTTTTTTTTTTTTTTTGAGGCCACAAATGTCACTTGTTTATTTACACATTCAATAAATAAGGCAGTCATATCATGCTTGCAGGTATTCAGAGATTTTTTTTTGATCAAGGGTATTACTTAGCTGAAGATAGGCTGAACTTTGTTCTTTTCGTTAAAGGTAGGTGACGTTTGTAGACACGTGTCTATTGAGTAAACAGGACAGTGTTTACAGTGGAAAGCTGGGGCCACAGCATGACATTTAAGCATTTGTGCAATTCATAGTTTCATAGTAGCTAGGGTCAGGAGGGACCTGAACAGATCATCTAGCCTGACCCCCTGCCACAGGCAGGAATGAATGCTGGGTTCACAAGACCCCAGACAGGTGATCATCCAACCTCCTCTTGAATTTGCCCAAGGTAGGGGCGAGGACCACTTCCCTGGGAAGTTGGTTCCAGATTTTGGCCACCCTAACAGTAAAATATTGCCTTCTGATCTATAACCTAAACCTATTCTCCATCAGCTTATTACCAATGTTCCTTGTTGTACCAGGTGGTGCTGGGGAGAAAAGGGCTCTGCCTATTTGCTCTTGATCTCCCCTGATGAGTTTGTAGGCAGCCACCAGGTCCCTGCTCAGCCTCCTTTTGCTGAGGCTGAACAGGTTCAGGTCCTTCAGTCTCTCCTCATAGGGCCTGTCCTGCTGCCCTCTCACCAAGTGGGTGGCCCTCCTCTGAACCCTCTCCAGGCTGGCCACATCCCTTTTGAAGTGCGGCGTCCAGTACTGGATGCAGTACTCCAACTGCGGCCTGACCAAAGTCGCATAGAGGGGGAGTATCACCTCTCTGGACTGGCTTGAGATGCACCTTTGGATGCATGACAAGGTATGGCTGGCCTTGCTGGCTGCGGTCTGGCATTGGCGGCTCATGTTCATCTTGGAATCAATAATGACTCCAAGATCCCTTTCTGCCTCTGTGCTTTCAATTGCATACATATAAGTATTGAAAGAATGAAAACTACTCACACGCTTAAAGTTAAGTAAATGCTTGGAGAAATTGTGGCCCATATCCTTTCTAGTTGTATCAATGTTGCTTTACTGACTCAGCGAAGAACAAATTGCCCCTACTAAAGTTGTAGCCCAAAATGTAATCATGGCCACTCTCCTTTTTATGCATTATTTACATGGGTAGGCCTTCGTTTCTCGAAGTTTTCATACATTTATTCATAGTCACAAACAAGGCAGAGTATTTGGGCCTGTTTGAAAATATTCACTGCTCACCGTTCATCATTCAGTACTTTTCCATTTTAAAAGTTTCATTTATCTCTTAATCCATCAGCAGAAGTGATGCTATGCAATGGTGACTCGCCAATCACTCCATAAGGAAAACTAGGGAATGTTCTCCAGAAGAATACAGTAAATGCACAATCTTAGCTCCTCATTTTCTCACCTGTCTTTTCTGTATCTTACTCTAACTGCATCTTCTTAATCCTTTGTCTTTTATCAGTCATCTTTTTCCCCTCCTCTGCTGTCATGTGGTTCTTTTTTCCTCATCTCTCCCATTAGCCTGATATCATGCCTTTTCTGCTTCCCAATTCTATTTCTTTGTTCACAAGAAATGAGGTCTACTTTATTTCACTGATGTGGGGAGAAAAGATTCCTAACAGAAAAAAGTAGCCCACTGAAACCAGTGATATGCATGCTATCTATGTTTGTGAAAAGACAGAAATTTATTTCCTTTAAACTTGTAGGTATGTCTTTACTTATTCTGGTATGCATCTGCCAAGCAAAGCAAACAACTTGTACAGGGTTATGGTTCAGAACCATTTCAAATGATAGTTAATTTAACTTTGAAAATTACAAAGTTAAAACCCAAAACTTCGGTGCATTGAAGCCCATGGCAGTCAGGCACTTTCATACCTTTGAGGTTCTAGGTGTGCCTGCATATGGCAAAGTGATGAAATCCCTCAGCTGCGATTTATTTTAAGATCTGAGGGAATTTATAATCCTGCAAACCCACACTTGGGCCCACACTTGGAAAGGTGATTAAATAGCTTTGAAGATCTGGGCCTAAGCCATTAAGAAGAAATCATGAGACATTACAAATGTATCTTGTAATAAACACAGAAGGCTGGAACCTATTAGGTGCCTAAGGTGAATCATATTCCACCCTATTCAAGTCCCTAAAAAAGTTAATGCAAAAGGTGGGTGGGCCATGTTCCTGCTTGCTGCTTTTTGTCACTTAGTCTTCAGGCTAAGATGGTAGCATGTTACAAAAGTAGACGTGATAATCTTTTTTTCAGGTGCTTGCACAGGGTAAAATAGGATCATACTTGGGGACCCAAGCCCACTTAGGGTACATAAACTCATTTGTTGCACTTTGTCTATGCTCATGTGGCTCACTTTAAGACGTGAGGATAGACCAGGAGCAGCATGATGGAAAGGGAAACTAAAGTAAGTAACATGGGGTGAGGGGACAACTGGGGAGGCTAGTGGGTCCATGGGGAGGGGGTTGACAGGTTCAGGGGTTGTTGCCAGGATTGTGGTGCAGGAGGCTGGCAGATCCACAGGGCAGGGAGGGGGGGCAGAGGAACTGTCCATCCAAGATTAGGGAGTTGGGGGACTAAAAACAGCCTGGTCAGGGTGTAGATCTAAACGTAATGGCTATGGGTACCCATAGATATCATAGCAAATGTCTATGCTATTTTCACAGGACTGTAGAGAACATGGCTGAAACACAAACCCTGCTCCATCTGTCTGAATTTGCACATGCAAACTAGGGCTGTGCGAAGCTTCAGTCCCTGATTCGATTCGGCCCAATTGATGGCCAAATCTCTGAATGCAAATTGAATCAGGAGACCCTTTAATCTCTCCGAATTGAATCAGAACCCTCTGAATCAATTTGGAGAGATTCAGAAAGATTCGGAGATTCGGACATAGAGACAGCTTTAAATGTTTTTTTACATACTTCTAGGTAGCAGGTGCTCATGAGTGCTGTGATGCTGGGGCGCATGGAGTGTCCCACAGAAGCGCAGGGGGCTCCCCAGCATGCTTGGCAGAAGACCAGAAGTGCTTCTGGTTTGCTTGCGGGTCCCCCGGGGATCATGCTGGGCCCTCCTCCCAGCTCAGTGACTGGTGCCTCCTAGGTCGGGGGAGGGCACACGGGGTCCCCCTGCGGCTGACTGCTGTGCCAGGGGGCACGCCAGCATGCTCCCTGGCAGACCTGCAAGTACCTCTAGTCCACTTCTGGGTTTGCTGCCGAACACGTGGAGGCCCCCCCCGTGGGGTGCTCCATTCACTCCAACATTGCAGTGATCACGAGCCGTACTGGTACCTCAAGGTATGTAGAAAAAACGTTTAAAGCTGTGCCTATGTTCAAATCATTGATTCTCCAAATCAGCATCAAATCTTCAGATTCAGATTTGGCCAAATCAAATCAGGGACAGTGATCCAAGTCAACAAATCAAATCACTGTCCCCAATTTGGGCTGAATCCAAATTGAATAGGGCCCGCTTCACACATCCCTAATTCCATCCTCCAAAATATGGGGGCAAAGCTGTTCTGAAGTTGCCCTGTCTCTCTTGATCACATAAGAGGTAGAGATGGAGGACACTGGTGGAGCTGAGGTGGAGGGTACCCTCAGGGCAGCTTCACTGCTCATTTCTGGGTTTGGCATGACCAGAAAGAGGATCTGCCAGGAGGTAGCCAGGATTTGCTTTTCAGTGACCCTCACAAGGACCCCACAGAAGTGATATAAACATACCCTTAATCTAAATAATACCCTGTAGTTTAGAACTTGATTATAGCTTAAAATTTACACCTGTAGAGATTTAAACCATCATGGATAAAACTCAAATGCAGACTGAAAATCTGAGTATTTTTTTCCAAAACACCCAGGACACTTAAGAGGCCTGACAGTTGAGATCCTCGCTGTTATTTTTAATTTGCTTTGCTACAGCTGGGCTGCTCCCAGTACCTGAGCTATCTTGTTTGACATCCCACAGCTTCAACTTATTAAGCTTCTTTGAAAATCTTTATCATTCGTCTCTTTTAAAGTAACTTCTTAATCTGAGATACCATGAAGCAGCCTGTGAGAATTTTTACAGCTTTCTACAACTGAGCTTAGCAAGAGGCAAACCTCAAAAAGCTGAAGTTTCAATTGCAGTCACAAATCACTAGCAGCAATACAACCTTTTGAATGATCTCTTCAGATATATCACAGGAGGCCTTGAAGAAGCATGAAATTTGAATGAGTCACATAGACCACTATGTAGAATTTCCTGTTTCTATTTCTGTCCCATCAAAATTTCATGAAACACTTTTGATTTTAAAAGCTCATTTTTTTCTGATTTTTTTTTACTGCAACAAACACTACTAAAGATGACAAAAATGAAAAAGATTTTAAAAAAATTTCAGTGAGTTTAGTTTTTGAGTTAATTTTGTATATGATCAGTTTCAGTGTCATCTCTCTATGGTCAATTTCCTCTGATTGCTTGAGTTTCTCAAGTCAACACGAGTGGCAAAATCATTTATAAAAATAGAAGGAAACCCCATACATTTCACATGTTTATAGGGCATTCCCTGTGAGTGCTCTGATGTTTGCTGGGCTTCCACATAAATACTTCATAGCAGTAAAAACAACAGTGACAGGTGCACTCTGGGCATTTAATGTATTTACTGGATTTCCAGGTGACAATGTCCTTTAAAAAGTTTCCTTCAAAACCAGTGATTACCAACCCTCCAACTGGTTTGCTCCTATCTTGTCTTTGAGATCTTGCTTTAGGGTCTTTCAGTGCAGCAGTCACCAAAGATAGGGAAATTATTCACTTCACAAATATTTTGAAAGCAGTCAGGCAGGGACCGGCTGCAGGGCAAAATAAGTCTGAAAACAGGAACTTTGTGAAATCTGGAAACAACACATTAATATACATAATGATAAATATAAATAAATCTAATTTATGCCATGCTTCTTTTTGCTGCTGTAGCTACAAGGGAAAACCTTTTCAATGACGTCAACAGAATATGTGCAGCCACTTGATATCCCAGAAGACAGACTGGACAAGCGAGACTCGCACTGTAATCATTTCGGTAAGTGTTATTAGATGACGTCATTGACTGTAATTAGAGAGGTTTCTCCTTTACATCACTAAACACTGTCATTGCCTTCTTTCCCCCCAAGCAGTACAACTGAGCCCTCTTGAAACCCGATAGATTATGCCTTCTGGTGTCACATCTGATGCCATATGGACAGGCAAAGAGGTTTTTTTCCTGCATCTGCATATTGGCTGGTGCTGCATTTCTCCTTAATTTAAAGGAGAAAGACTCACTTATTTTTCTCTCGGATAGAAAACATGTAGATATTTTATAGTTTAAACAATAATAAGTTATAGTATATTTGAGCTTTCCCCAAGTTATATGTATTCTTTACCATAGCAAGTTCAGTAAAAGATTACTATTGCATGCAAGTTCAGTAAAAGATTTCAAAATCTCCTTTTGGTCTCTATTGGGAAAGAATTTTAAGTGCTGTTTTACCTCCATTTACTAATGTGCTACCTTTCTAGAGCTGGCTTTTTTACATACTGTTGCCTTGAGCATCCCAGAGGCATCTTTGCTCAGGCACACTTCTAAAAATGAGGCTTTATGACTTTGATAAAAGATCCTTTCATATTCCTCATCTCTGCTTCAAATGTTATGTTTTTACCAGTCTTGCAAAATTGCCAGGAAGATTTACTAAGCCAGGTTACTGTTACCTTTATGGCAATAACATCCGTATTTATCAAATATTATATAAAGTATCATTTGAAACACAAATATTAATTTATTTGACAGTTACCTCAGGCATGTTGCATTTTACAAGCCTGTTTTACTCAGTGCATATATATATATATGCTGAACCAAGAACCAATTGTGTCCTAAGTCCAAGGACTGCCTCTCTCTGTGTGTGTGTGTGTGTGTGTGTGTGTGTGTGTGTGTGTGTGTGTGTGTCCGGGCACTTACGACACAATTGGGTCTTGACAACTGCATCTTAAGTCGAAAGGTTGTAGCTCGGAACAAATTCTCTCACAAGACACAATGTTATAAATGGGGGATTGTTCCTGAACCAAGGCCCAATACCCTATTTTCACTAAAAATACCCCAGAATGTTATACTTGATCAATTATAGATGAGTAATATAGCTACATTAATGTATTTATATTATAAATAGCAATCATATTGATTTGGAAGGACTTCTTTGAGGTGACTGCTGGACTTTGTTAAGGGTTCTTGGCTGGAGTCTTCTCATGAGTCTTGGCTGCAGGTTTTTCTGGAGTCTTGTCTGCTTTCTTAAAGAAAGTGTCCAAGGAAGTTTGGACAGATGTTCTCCAGGGAGATGAGTTATGCAGTGAACTTGTTCGCTGGCGTGGCATTGTATCGGATCATGTGTTGTAAAGTTGAAACTTACGTCATAAAGTTGAAACAGGGTGTCAATTTATAAACACTGTAAGTGCGAAACGTTGTAAGTCAAGGACTGCCTGTATACACACACATGCACACGCACACATGCACACACACATTAGTTCTGATTCTGATTCCAGAACTTATAATTCACAGCCAAGGTCAGGGACCTATTTTGATAGGTGCTGTATTAACACATCTAAAAAACCTGCTCTCTCCTCTGCAGAACTTAGTGTTTAAATTAGGCATGGAGAAAGCTGGTTAATGGGATTATCCTCATTATCCCAACAGGTGGGAAACTGAGGCACATAGCAATTAAGCAACTGACCCAACTGACCCAACTGACCCAAGAACACACAGCAGTTTGTGGCAGACCTTGCAGCCATATTCAGATCTTCCAGTACCTTACTTATGAGATCATCCTTCTTGTCTGTAGACAACAGACTTATAAGAGTGGAAAATAGTATAAGTCAGATCAGAAATCCAGCCCAAATGAAAATGTAAACTGATGAATCCCATCAGTCAAGTTTAAAACAGAAGCCCTGATTTGTAAGATATTATTAGAGGCGAGTCAGCCTCAAAAGGTTTGATCTGTCAGCTTGCATAAGCATCCAGAATGGTGAAGAATTATAAAAAGTACCCTGACGTTCTCTGCAACTTTTGAGTCAAGTGTGGCTTTCAGTAGGTTCAAATCCAAAGTATTCTCATCACAGTCAACAGAAAGTGGGTGTGCAAAAATACGGCCAGTTATTTGGGTATATAAACTGTCTCTCAATGACCCTTATCTGCATAATCTTTGCTGTTCATCATTTTTCATCAGCTCTGTATCTTTTGTTTTCATGCAGATGATCTTTCAGAACAGCTTATTAAGAGTTGTGACCTGAACAAGAAACCAAGAAAGGGTAAAGTCATCCAGGCTTCCCAGAACAATGATTTGGAGCAGAAAAAGCCAAGGAGGAAAGACACACCTGCATTACACACCCCACCACCTATCCCAGGTGATAGATACCACTTTCAGTTTCCAAACTAAATGAAGCTTAGGGCACGTCTACACGCGATGCTACTTTGCCGTAGTGATGCACTACAGTGACGTAGCATCCACGGGTGTCTACACATGACAAGCAGCTCCTTTGCTGTAGTGGCGCACCCCCCCCCCCCATTATAGTGCACCACTACAGCGAAGTGGCTGCTAAAAATAACTGTGCGCCATGGCCACGTGTACGGCACAGCATGGGCAGTTACTGCACTGTGCTTTAGTACCTCCAAAAGGAAGTACTAAAGCACAGCCCAGTAATAACACCGCTGTAAGGCAGTGTGTAGATGCGCCCTTAATTTTATTGAAATCTGACCACCTGGCCCACTTTGGTTTATCTGGACTTGACTAGAAAGCACACTGCTGCCCTAGATCTTCCTTCCCCTCTGTGGGCGCACGTGGAAGCCTGGGCAAACAGGGAAGGTACAATTTTTCAAAGCCGGTCACCACTGGCTTAACTCTGCTTCAACTGAAATCTCTGGAAGTTTTACCACTGGCTTCACTGGGATCAGGGTTAGCTCAGTGGTGATACTTTTAAAACCCCTGACCCTAAGCCTTATATTTTCATCACCTCCTTGAAATAAATTGGTAGTGTGTGCACTGATTTCCATGAGTTGGAAACTGCACCGGTTCAAACTGAAAACCAATCAAATTAAGCTATCATGTATATCTGTGCCATTTGTAGTCACTCTCAGTGCCATGACTGCTCCCTGTGCAAAAGCTCTGAGAAACTAGCTAGCTCCCAGGGTAAGAGGAGTGAGGTGGCTTTTTTTTTCTCCATAGCATCAGCCTGCCCAAACTCAGCTGGCTATGTTAATCCTGGCAGAGCTCAGTCTAGCCAGCGGGTTCCAGGGAAGTCAAAAAGTGCCTAAGTAAAAGAACTCCTTGTGTCTGTGGATTTTGAGGGCTGTGCTGACTTAATTTCCCTTGCCATACCTGGAACGGAGAAAGAAAGAATCAGCAGGGAACTGCAAGTAACACTTCACAGCTGTCCCAGAGTCCCCCGCATGTATGGGTTGTGCCACATCCACCGAGGAACCTAGTTTCCTTTACTAATGAGGACAGTTCTCTTAGGAAAAGGCTGCATTTTTGGAATGTAATACAGTCAGTCCCATTTCCCATACACCCCTAAGTGATGTATTTAGCCAGCAACTGCTGGCATATTCCTCTGTGTATTTCTGGCAGATCACAGTGGAGAAAACAAAATGGTAATATTAATAAATGGAATCCAGCAGATATATCCATCAGGCTAAAGATAAGCCTCAAGGCTGTTTGCAAATGTGTCCAGCCTCTGAAAAATACTGTCTCCTTAGAAGAAAGGGATCCAGAACAAACTTGCTTAGCAGTTTAGACTTTAGACCTCTTGTGTCCATCCCATGAGTAAGATAGGATCACACCAGGTAGAACGTCTGGCATCACTTCTGGGAGGTCACACTTGTTCTGCCTCACATGTTGTGTGCTTCATGAGATTGCGTAGCTCTCATAAAATAGATCTATGGATCACAGTTTTGCTTTTGAGCTCAAACCAGTGGTGCAGCTGGCTTGGCTGTATTACTAACTGTTCTGTCAATCGTGCTTTGTAAGGTACTATTATATTAAGGAAATTCATACAGTTCCTAACCAGCAATAGCATATTGCACTGTGCTCTCACAGAGCAGGGCTTATCATTAGAGAAGTTTATGTCAGCATATTCCAGGATAAAGTCACACAGGTGCAAATTTTGTCAATGCATGCAAGGCTGACAAGGCTTAAGAAACTACTACTACTATTATTATTATTCCCTACAGCCATCCTCTCAGACTTTTCAGACAATTTGCTTCAAAGGTATGAGATCTCAGAGAAACTACAGAAGGAAAAAGGGACTTCACTCTCTCAGGTCACTGATTTAGAACAGAAAAAACCCAGGAGAAAAGATACACCTGCAATACACATCCCACCACTTGTAACAGGTAAGAGGGTTAGCATGGGATATTCAAAGGTAAAATAAAAGGCAGCTAGTATAAGAGCACTGTCTGGCAGTGAAAGGAAAACAGTTGCTTTGTTTAACTTCATGCCTGTTATTTTATGCCCAGCTGGAGTTATTTTTTGTGATTAATTTTTTTGCAACAGCATCCAAAATGTGCTAGATGCTAGCCGAACATGGAGTTCTGTTTCAGACCTGAAGAGCTTTCTGTTTGAAAGAAACTGAGAAAAGAGAACTCTCTTTAGACTCCCTTCAACTGCAAACAAGGACAAAATTCAGATTTCAATTTTTCTTTAAAAAGATTGAACTCAAACTTTTCTCCCCAGTTTGACCTGAGCTAATTCACTTAGAATGGAGCTATAAGTATTTGTTTGTTCTGTGTTTGTGCAGCACCTAGTTCAACAGGGTCCCGTTCTCTGACTGGGCCCTTTTAATACTCTTAATATAAACAGTAAAGGTCTGGCTGGGCATCTTGACACAAGTTGTTTACTGCTCAATTGACTAATTAGCTGTGCAGTAAATGTGTCAGTGTCTACACATGTGCCCCTATTAGGTTGGAGTGATCTAATTTACTCCACAGCAGGATAGTACTTGTAAATACATTAGTTGTAAATACAGGTATTATCCTGCTGCAGAGTAAAAAACTCTGCAGCAGTGCATGTATGCTAGAGGGGCTGGCTGGGGCACAAGGGAGCTTCAGTGCGGGGACTGCCTGCCAGCTAGCCAGTGCTAAAACACCATTGTGCCCCAGCCAGCCCCTCCGCAGCATGTTGAGCTGCAGAGAGCAGCCCCGGGCTGGCAGGCTGACCCCCACTGAGCCCCATGCCAGCCAGGGCTGGCTCAAACCAGCTCAGTGTGCTGTGCATGAATAAACTGCAGAGCTTATTATTAAAATATACACATTCAAACCGTGTGCCCAGGAGCAATAAACTCCAAAGCAAATAAACTCAACAGTTTATTCGTGTGCTGTAATTGCATGTGTAGATGCACCCACTGAGTGCTAGTGTGAGATCAACAAAGCCTCCTCAGATTCACCTAGTAATAAGGACCCGCAGTTTTGTGAGAGAAGACAGAGTGCTTTTTCCTACCTTAAATGTATTCAATCAGTTCTCTGCTCCACACTTACCTGTGTAATGAATGGTGAAAGCTAAAGGCAGGAGGCTGTATGATTTAATGAATAAAGCACAGAACTGAGAAGGCAGGAACACCTGATTTATCTTTGCACAGCATTAAGAAGCAGGGTAACCAATCGCTCTGCTATGGATGTACTGGGTAGCCGTGAGAAAGTCACTTATACCAAATGTTTCAGACTTAGCTGTCTACAATGTGGCTCTTGAGCGTGGTGCAGTTACCAACTGTGCAGCGGCCTCTGGCTTTTAGGGATGAACTTCTCAGTGTGGCCAAGCGTGTCAGGAAGTGGATGGCTCTAGGACTCCCTGCTGCTGGGTGTAGGACTAGGGAAACAAAACAGGGGATGAGGAGTGTCAAATGATGTTATTCCCCATTGTTTCTCAGGGAATTTTGAAACAATGAGGGATTTCTAATGCCCCATATACCAATGGCAGAGCCAAAAGACACTTCATGTCACTGGATGATCCCTCTATACACTGAAGTGAACCTCCATTTTATACCACTTTTAGGGCTGGTGGTGTGGTATAGAGTAGCTATGGAGAAGCCAGTTATCTTGGTGTCTGTATGGACCCAGACATCCAATTTTCAACATTTTGGGCCTTAACATCTTTGTTTCTTAATTTCTGGTAGTAAAAATGGGAATGATAATGCTCACCTTCCCAATATCACAAGGGTGTCATGAGCTTTAATTAGTTAATGTTTGCATAGTGCTTTGAAGAGATAAAATACCATAGGAAAGTTAATTATTAGTAGTAGTCAGGGAAGCAATATACCAGCTGCTTGAGATATTAAGTGTCGGGGGCAGACAGGAACTACCCAGCTCCAAACCTAATGCTAAATGTTTCATAAATGAAGATACCGCCAAAAAAAGGGAAGAAGCCAGGTTTTTGGTGATATCTTTTATTGCACAAATTTTATACTTGGGAGAGATGTTAGACAAGTTTTGAGCACAAAGTGCCCATCAGATCTTGTCTACCACCTTTCCCAAATATACAGGTGATCTGATAAAAGATATCCCCACAGAAACTGTGCTTCTTGCATGTTTCCTACATTTACACATCTAAAAAGGGCCCCTTCTATTATACTGCTCCTTACTGTGGCCCCAGCACAGCAAAGCACTTAAGCACATGCTTAAACCTGGTATACACATTTGTACATGCGTCCACACAAACAAGCACACATGCACACACAAAAAGCAAAGGAAAGCAAAATGACTGAAAAGAATGATAAATACTTAAAAATAGTTCCACCAGAGGAAAAAAAAAATCAAAACAGCCTTGTAGAAATGAAGTAACTTCAGACTGGGATTATAATGGTATTTGTGTGGGGAGCTGCAGAGGTCATATTACATAATGCCAGCCAATTAGACCTAATACACTGAATGAAGCAGACTTCTTGACGCTAAGTGATTTTTAAAAATGGGGTACACTTAACTATGGTATGCTAGTTAGTCACTGCAGATCCAATGGACAGAAACATTTTTAAATACTCTCTTGACCCCAAATAATTATATAAATATATAAAAAGGAACATTCTGCACTACTCACGGAAAGCTCTGTAAGTCCACATGACAGGACAAGGCACCTCTGAGACTAATTGAACATTACCAGTAAGTTTACTTAATACATTAGCTATACACATTTGAAATTGTGTAGTATGTTAATGTTGTTTGGGGGTCAGGCCTGGGCTCCAGGGAGCAGGGAGGAGCTGTCTCAGAGTTGGGGACAGGTCCCGGCTTCATGGAGCTTGGGATCGCAGCCCAACTCAGTAGCACTCGCTTGGGGTGATGCCCTATGCTTGAATGGCAGAAGCACCCTAAGCTCTCCTCTCACTTTGCCTGCTGAGGGGAGCTCCTTGTCCCCGGTCCTGGTGCTGCTCAGCTCCCCACAAGCATGGGTGGGGAGTGAAAGCTGACTAGGGCATGCGCTGCACAGGCTGCAGCAGGGCTGAGGGGACAAGGAAGCACTGTCCCTGGGCCAGCAATGCAAGGACAGAGAGCTTCCCCATCCCAGCACTGCTCATCTCCTGGCAGGACCTGGGAGCTGAGCAGCACAGGGACCAGGAACAGAGAGCTCCCCCATTCCCTCAGCAAGCAAAGTGAGGGGAGAGCTCAGGGTGCTGCTGCTGCTCAACGGTGCTTGGGACTTAAACTCCACCCTGACTTGCTATCTTTGCAAACCCTTGTGAGAAGAGCTAAGGGTTTGACTTAGCCCAATAATATTTCTGAACCTGGAGGCAGCATTCTTTCTTGAACACTTTTGAGCACCTTTTGGAGCCCCTCTGTGTCACTGGAGCTGCATACAGAGACCAAAATGTGTGTGTGTGGGGGGGGGGGGAGGAGATCTCTCTTTTATAAAGTGCTATATTAAGTGAGAGGTGTTTACTAATAGTATAATAACTACTGAACGTGGTGAGATGAAGAGTTTTAAAGAGAAACAGAAAATGCTCTTGCTTTTAGAAACCTGGTATAACAGGGCACCACAGGGGCAGGTCACTGGCTCAACATTTGTCATGCAAGTTCAATTTGTGTTAATGCCCATTATTTTGTTAATTTAATCCTTGTCCCTTTAACCTTAGTGATCTCTAGCGGGCACATAAGCGAGACACAAAATGTTTAGAGGCAATTAAGAAGGGAGTTTCCCATCTTATAAGTGTGTTGCTGGTTACTACTGCCCAAGTGCAGCACCCTGCACTTGTCAGTATTGAAATGCATCTTGTTTTTGTTAGCCCAGCCTAACGTTAATGAATGTTAGATGATAATAGAAGCATTTTATGATGATCTCTATAAGACTTGTTAATCAAGAACTACTAAAGTGAATATAGTAATAAAGAAAAGGGCAGTGGCCTTGATATGTGTTACAGAAATCAGAGCCCTTGACAATATGACTGCTGATAATACACACATACACACGTGCGCGCGCGCGCGCACACACACACACGGATGTGTACACCCAGGCCCCATTTACGTGTCACACTAACAAGTTAATCAGGACTTAAGTGATCACACAGCCACACATTCAATCAATTCATGATGTGATGAAAAGAGGAATAAGCTACAAAGTTATTCCGCAAAATAGGTATAAAAACTTTGTGGCTGCTTCCTATCATGCCATTAATTGAACGTGTGGCCAGGGCGCCCTGTGGCTTGGAGCCCCATCAGCTGATTAGAGCTCCCAGCTGGAAAGAGGGGCCCATGTGCATCCATAAGTCTGGTAGCTTGCAACAGCTGTGGTCTTCCAGCTGTAGGGGTACATGGGGACCTCCCCACAGCTGGGAGCCTCATTCACTGAGGACACTGTAATACAAGCTATGGCAGCTTGTTTCTTACTAGTGCAAGGGAGCTTGGGCTCAGGCTTCTCCTGCACCAAAAGTAAGGCATGATGGAATCGGATTCATGATCCCACAACGACACCTCCTGCCATGAACATGTTATGGCAGGAGGTGTGATTGTCTGGATCACAGGTTAAATCCTATCGCAACTTTATCTGCACATGTAGAGGGGCCCTCACATGCACAATCCAGGCTTGGTTTATGAGGCATTTCTCCAGTTCTATGCCAACACAACTCAAGTGACATTTAATTTTAAAAGCAGAGCTGACCTATTGATGAGTCAGACCCCCTTGATCCTCTATGAAATCAATCACAACAGCTTGGTAATTACAATCTCCTTTTGAAATCAACATTCCCAGCTGTCTTTCTGTGGGTACGTACTCCTCCAAGGAGGACATGATTCATTTGCACAATAGAAAATAATCCCTAATGCATATCATGCTAGGGTGGCATGGATAGGGTGACTTGCATGCTTAGTTGTCACTGAGCCTGGTTTTATTCTCTGCCCTTTCAAGGATGCATAATTTACAAAAATCTACTGTGTGCACTGTGGGTGCCATGCTTAAAATGAAAGAGTGACTCACTGTGGCAAAGGACTCATCTAGAATTTACAGCTTGTTTACTTTGAGGGTTATTCTACAAGGCAGCAGACAGAGAATAAATAAAACCAGCTCTTGCGGGACTGCTGTGCAAAATAAAATCTCAATTATAGGCTTGGAGACCTGAGAAGCCCCAGCACAGTTAAGGGCATCAAATAAAAACAAAAGGGCTGTTCAGTCCCCAGCTGCCTGTATTGGTGTGGGCTGCCCAAGGAGCGCACACAGTTCTTCATCATTCACTCATTATTTTTAATGTGTCTCCATCCTAGTCACTACCAAAGGCCAATGCTTCTGATGCTACCAGCAGCACTGAGAAAGACTAGCTGCTTTAACTAATAGAGCTTAATTAACAGATATTAATTTTTGCCAATGGCTGTCTGCACAAATGTATATCACATAGTATGTGTTTACACAGTAAAGTTGTCATACCCAGCAGCAGGGCCTTCAAGCCATGTTGTTTCATACAGACTTCAGAAGGTAACTTCAGGTGGGTTATTTAGCACTGCTGAGAGGCAGGGATAGTTAGCCTCTTCCATGCTCATCTGTGACACCACCTGGGCATAGTTTTGCTTTTTTAGGCTTAGCCCAGAGTAACACAGCCTCCCATGTACAGTGAGTTTATTAAGTAGACGGGCCATACATATGGGTGAAAGTGAGAGCCCTTGCCTTCTTCCTCCACTTTTCACCGACTGTCTGTGACCACCTGAATCAGTCCTGTTCTGGACATAAACCATCCAGCCATGTGCCAGACTGAACATCCAAAGTGAACTTCTTACTGAATTGAACAAGTCCACTCCTGGACTGAGGGCAAGAAGGCAGGAAGTAGAATGATGTTCATCATGTTTTATATCTTCCAGACACTTAGTACGTGTTTCCCTTCAAACCTCCTGCGAGGTACATGCATAGTTACAGATGGGAAACGGCAGTACGGAGAGATTAAGCATTAAGATCAATGCTAAAGCTCACAAATAGAAACCAAGCGCCATGGAGCTCCATCTTGGTCTAGAGCACCACATCCTGTAGCAATGAGTTATGCGAACATTCAGCAATGTCCAGAATGACTGTATTACAACATAAACACCTCATATGAAGATCCAGGACCTCACTGTACCTAGGCTTAGAAAGAAACAGTTTTGCCTGGAAGAGGTCACAACAAAAAATGGGGCAGGAGACAGAAAATATTATTCTTGCCAATTTACAGATGAAAAACTGAGTCACAGAGACATTACAGGCCAGAATTTTAAAGACCTTACACCTATTTATATAAAAAGAAAAATGATAGATAGTGTGTGAACCACCATAGGAAAGTGCCAGCTATTTGGACGGCTAAATAAATTTAATCAGCCAATACATTGGGTTCCTGATGTGGCATAAGAGAGACAATATAGCCACAGTTCAGATGTGGCTTTTTCTTCACAAGACAGTTAAAAGTGATAGATCAGGTTTAGGATTACTTAGGCTTACACCAACATTTGAAACATTCTTTGTTGCCATCCCCAATTAACACTGTAAGCAATTAACATTAAGTGTTTCTGAAGAGGCCTTACAGAGTGAGGGTTTTGACAAGAATGTAAATACAAGTGTAACTATAGTGAAATTCTTCCTGAAGTATAGCTACTTAAAATTTCTAATGGGAGTAGAGATCATTATAAGAATACAGTCTCAGGCACTTATCCTCCCCTTTGCTGCATTGCTCTGTAAGTGTAAAAGCTTAACCAGCTCCCTCAGGACTCCCCCTTTATAAGGAAAGTAAAGAACCACTTAAGGGGTGCATCTACATGAGACATTTATGGTGCAGTAGACAAATTAGCTGCGCAGGAAATGCCATGTGTCTACATGTGTGCCCCTATTAGGCTGGAGTAAATTAATTAACTCCACAGCAGGATGGTATTTGTAAATACAAATATTATCCTGCTGTTGTGTTTTTTTACTCCACAGCAGTGTATGCGTAGACGCTATCCTGGCTGGCTGGGGCATGAGGATGCTTCCGTGCAAGGACTGCTAGATGGTTAGCGTCATGCTGAAGCACCCTCATGCCCCATTCAGCCCCTCCACAGCAAGTTGAGCTGGGAGGAGCTGCCCCAGGCTGGCAGGCTGACCCTCTGGGCTCTTTGCCAGCCAGGACTGCTCCAACCCATATATGCTGCAGTTGTGGGTGTACGTGAAGATGTGGTGCCTGGGAGCAGTAAACTACAGAGCAATAAGCTCTGGAGTTTGTTCATGTGCATTAATTGCATGTGTAGATGTGACCAAGCAGTACTACACTCCTCCATCCCAGCCCCAGTTCAAGAAGTGTGATTGGAAAACTCTAGCCTTCTGCCAGAAAAGCTCTTCAAGCTACAGGCAGCTAGATGTACCCCTGAGAAATGCTGAAAATACTCTACATTTCACTACAGACCACTAAGGATATGGCTGATCCAGAAGACACAGAGTTAACTTGCAGCCACTTTTGCCTTTGCATCCTCCCTTTGAGGTCAACTCAGTGCAGCTCTGGCATGGTTCTGAGTTTGGACCTTTGACACTGAAATACTCGATGGGCCAGTTTTGCACCAGAGATTTTTCACCAGTGCAGGGTTCTGGGGCAAAATACTACTACAACTTCTGATTTATACACTGCTTTACATAGTAAAAGTTCTTGGCAGTCATGTATATGATAGATGATCTGTCACCTGCAGAATATATATATGGGATATTCTGAATGATATAATGCTCATTATACCCTCTTGGGGAAAATTAGGCAAAAAGCTGCAGCGATTTGCTTGGAGTCAGGAACAGCACACAGGTGATTATTTGTTGTGGCCATCCCCACTGTTGCTCCAGATTGTGATGAGCATCTATGCCCCTTGTGGACTTTACACTTAAGACATGTCACATGATTAACCAGTTAATCATATCTTAAGTCAGGCATTCATTCAATTAAATAGTGCAATAACAGGGAGTAAGCCACAAAATTATTACACAAAAAATGTGCAATAATGTTGTAGCTGGTTCCCATCACACCTTAAATTGGCCAGCACTGGAGCCTTGAAGGGCTCTGATATGCTCCTGAGGTTGGGAGCACTGGTCACCTGATTAGGGCTTCCTGCCATGGGAGTGTATGGAGCGCTTGGTTGTCATGTGGTCTCATGGCTGAGAGCCCTAATCAGCTGACAGCGAAGGGCTTCATGCACTCCCACAAAGGAGAACCTCGATCAGCTGACTTGTGTTCCCAGCCACAGGAGCACCACTTGATCTCGGGCTCCCCCTGCACTGGCAATACAGTGCAACTGGGACCTGATACCCAATCTGAAATCATGCCTCCTGCTATGCATGTGTCATGACAGAAGGCATGATAGTTGGGATCTGGTATCAAATGCCATCATGCCTTTAATTGAACATCTGTTAGTAATCCTAATGCACTGTTTACTGTTTACGATTGTTTGATTCTTAGACAGAAACAGCAGTGAATTGGACAGGGTTACAGATCAGATTTATAGTTTCATTTTCCTTTTATACTACCCAAATTTTAGGTGTCCTGTCACCTGGGGGACTTCTCATCCCCAAGGGTGGTACATAGACTCTCTATACACTGCATGAGGAGTCTGGACTTGTCTGCACCATGGCCTGGCCACAGCAGGTTCCAGGAAGGACAGGGCCAAGCATGCCCCTCCTCTACCCTGCATACCTGCATTTGAAAATACACTCCAGACCTGAAATTTGCCGTTGAGACCACTCTGGACTCATCCCCAGCAACTGCTCTCGAGCATGCTGGAAACCAAGGGCTCAAAACAGGTTTGGAGGAATGAATCCAGAGCAGTCCAATGGTGAACTGTGAGATTTGGAAAGTATTTGCAGGTGGCCAGACATACTCACAATCACCCCTTTCCTCATTGGGAACCACCACTGCTGCGGTAGGGACATGCCCTTAGGAGGCCAGGAATGGGGTCCACAAAGGCCAGAATGCTGAAAGTGTGATTAGGTAACTCATCTGGGAAGGGGAGACCTAGCTTCCCGTTGGTGTGCCAATGAATAATTATTTTTGTAAAGTAGAATATATTGAACAGGAGATATTGAGGAAATCCTTCCCAGAATTGCCTATAGTCTGATTATTACAATGTTGCCCCGGGAAATAGCAGCTGTAGATTTAAATCCCCTTAGAGAAGGAAGTCACAGAGCCAATCTGTGGTGAAATAAGAATTTCAGCCAGGTCACTAGAACAATTGGATCATCTTTATGTAGCAAATATAATGCACGGGGCATTTGGGAAAATATGCAGATATAAAGGGAATAAATATGCATGTCTATATTTTGTTTGGTTTGATATAAATAGAAGTAGAAGTCTGGATATCAAATAGAAATATTTCCTGTACAGATCTGAAAATGTCATCCCTGCCACTAATTTACAGCATCAGCTATGCAATGGTTGTTTGAAAAAATACACCATAGTGGGTGTGTCTACATGAGATACTATGCCACCATAGTGACAAACTGTGGCAACGTAGCCCCAGTGGGCACTAACTATGATACTGCTGCTACTGTGCAGTAGTGTAGGAAACAACCTGTGCACCACTGGGACTGCACAGTACCAGTGGGTACCGCACAGTCATTTAGTACTTGCTTTAGCACAGTCCAACTGTACAGTCAAGGGCACATGTAGACATGCCCACTGTGTTTCAAAATTATGTAAAAAGAACTAGCTTCCCTTTAGTCCCTTGAATTGTTTCTCTTTTACAGTAAAATAAGCTGAACAGTAAGAAAGCAGGACCTGAGTTAAATTAATAGCACTTTTGGTCAGCAAAACTTGTTCATTAACTTATCACTTCTTGAAGAGAATCCAGAGCTGAAGAATGCCTTTCTGTATGGCATGGCTTCTTTTGCTCTATTTTCAGACTTCGTGACATATTTCATTATGAGAGGGCTTTTAACACAGAAAGAAGGAAAACAAGTTGGTTTGACAGAACAACTTGGCATGCTGAAGTGCAACAGCAGAAGATTGAATTCAGGTGATTTTCTTGACCTCAAGTCATGCTTTCCCTCATCCTGTTTTTGGAATATATTAAGTAACACACCAAGAAAGGTGGATGTAAAACATTTTTTTAGAAGCCATTTGTTGGTTTTTACTGGAAATGGACAGTTAAGCAAAAATAAAACTCATCCGTTTGCCCATTCACATTGGACCCAATGACTGGTTTTATCCATTCCATTTTAAGAAGGTTATTTTTAATTTTATTTATTGTATTCTATTTTGGTATCACTGTAGTACATAAATGCCTCACCTGTTGTTGGGATCATATTGTTCTAGGCACTATTTATAGACATAGGAAGAGACAGTTTATATTCTGAGAAGCTTACAATCTACATAGAGAAGCCAGAAAAAGGACAAAACATAGGATACACAAGGATCCCCATTTTACAGGGTGCATCTACATGAGACACTACTGTGCAGTGGTTAGTGTGCATATATTTAGTACTTATGCATAAGCAAGTACTAAATAAATGTGTAGTAACCAGAGTTACCGTGCAGTAGCACCAGAAAACATCTTTTAAGTGACGCTACTGAGCAGTAGCCTAATAATACTACACAGTCACAGATTAGCACTGCTCATGTTGTGACACGCTACTGCACAGTATTGTTTGGCTACTGTGCAGTCAGCGTCTGATGTAGACATGCCCACAGACACATTATGTGGTAGGCTATATAGCAAGTCCACAGCTGACAGAACACAGATCTCTTAAAAACCCTAACTCTCATGCCATCCTTCTTCTTGTTGTCATGTTATATAGGTAGGGCCCTACCAAATTCATGGCAGAAGCAGGCTGTGCTGCAGCTCCTTTAATCTTGTAGGTTCCCCCATGCATACCCCACCCTCACTGATTGGTGGAGGGACCCCACTTGCAGCTTGCTCCTGATCAGCAGGGAAGGGCAAATCAATTTTAAACGTGGCATCATTTTTGCCTCCCTGCCAGTCAGCAGCAAGCAGCAGGGTTGCCAGGGCCCCTTGGCACATCAGTGTCGAGAGGCAAAAAATGGCATCATATTTAAACCACAGTTTTCACCTCCCCACTGATCGGGAGCAAGCCACAAGCAGGGCCTGTCTACCAATAAGCAGTGGAGGGGCACACAGGATTAAAGAAGCTGCAGTGCAGCCCAATTCTGCCATGAATTCAGTAGGGCCCTACATATTGGTACAATAACAGCTGGTCAACAACCAGGACAACTGCCCAGGGCCTTACTAAGCTAACATGCAAATCCCATTCAAAGTATGGATGAGCAGAGAAAGGGTCCATGCTTAAGCCCCTGCCCAGGCCCCCAACTTCTGTAAAGCTGGTGCTGGATACAATATTTTTAGTGATATACATGAACGTGTTCAGCACTGATCCTGGTGCATCTTTTTTTATTTACAACTTGCTGACATTAGGGCTGCATGATCACATTCAAATAGCCTGGGAGAATTCTCCCAGGTTTGCTCTCCTGGTAGAGAAAGTTACCCAAGCTGCATTTACAGACATTTGAATGCTGAGGCCCCAAGGAGTGGAGAGCTTGCAGTGCTGACATTGTACAAATGGGGGATGGTGGGTGGTGATGGAGGAGGCTGCCCTGTGCACACATTCAGCCTGTTCTGTAGACTCATTTAATCTGCCTGGTGACAAATGGCAGCAGTGCAGAGGGCAGCTCTGATTGGCTGACCCAGGCTGCTCAGGGTCACCTGGCATTTCCCTGAAGCACAATGCGGGGATTGGACTCTGCTGCTCCCTACTGGAGCAGCAGAGTCCAATGAGATTTTGCTTGAATCTTGAACAGCAAAATCTAAACCAAATTATAATTTTAAAACACCCTACACAACCACAATTACCAATATGTAGAGAGATTAAAATATTATTCAGGAGAGTAAGTATATTGCTTTACCTAACATACTTTTTACAAACAGTTCAAATTCCTAGAATAAACAGCAGTGGGCTAGCTGCTTCAACAAGGCACTAGTTCTGAGGATGTACAATTGTTGTTATTAGAATGTGTTCATTTGACATTTTTTAAACTGAAGTGCAAACTTATAGAGGGTGAATGAGAAGGAAGAATGGAAAAATAGAAGAAAGGAATAGGGAAACCATAAATGAAGGACAGAAAGGAAGAGAAAATGGCTCCAGTGTGATTGCAGTGACATAAAGCTAACTTTCTTATTAGACATAATATGGAATCCTAGGGTTACACAGCAGCATAAGATACTGAAAAAGGGCTTTATGATCCAAAAGATTTTGAGACTCACTTTGTTAAACTTTTTTCTTCTTTTGGTTCCCCCTTCTCTCTTCTTTTAAGGTATTAAATTGCTTAGAGAAGAGAAGCAGACAGTGATTGTGGAAGATGAAGAAAAAGATGGAGAAAAATTCCCTCTTTAAGATGATTGCAATATCTCCAGCCTATTGTACATAATTCTGGGTAATTCAAAAGGGCAGCATATAAAAAGTCTGTTCATTTTTATAAATACTTTTCTTAAGCATCACTGCATTTAAGCTAACACCAACTGCTTATCTGCACTTCATGGCTTGTTGGAAGAGACTGAAGTCAATGGATTTGTAATTAGGGTTGGAAGAAATGTATCAGATAAATCAGATAACGATCCTGATTTACATGGGATTTTTCCATATGCTGACACTATCTAAACTGAAGCCTACTTTTGCATATCTGTTATGGTAACAGTTAATGTAAGGAGGAAACCAGCCAACCAGGCATTACAAGTAGCACTAGTGGGAGAATAGGGCAGAGCTTTAAACCTAGGTTTCTTTTGTTAGGCAAGTTACTGTTGTTTTTTCCCCACAAAAGGACAGCAGTGGGCGGAAGTAAACCACTACCTGCTCCATTTGGCTTAAAATCCTAATGTGTGTTTCCATCCTAATTCTCCATTTCATTACACTGGTTTTACTCTGCTGGCATATCACGGACTGCAGCAAAACCACAGTAGTACAAAAATAGAAACTCAAAATCCCATTCAGACATCACATGCATGGCCAATACAAGTAGACTATCTTTATTTGTACTTATATTCTCTTTTGTTACAAGCTTTGAGTTTATTTTAATACTAAAAACTAGTACCTCATAAGGGCCATTATTTAAAAAATCTTTAGAGTCTAGTGCTCTCGGAAGAGAAACTTCGTAGAAATGTAACAGTTGTCTTTAGTACTAATATATAGGATTGAATCTTTTTTTTCAGAGATCTTTTTCCAGAGCTGGTGGAATAAGAACTAGTTGGGTAGTGGATCTTTTTAAGCTACGTGTTTTCTTTTGATAAGCTCTCTTGACTCGCTCCTAACCTTTCATTAGGAGGTGCTGTAAAGAGTAATACTCATGCTGGAGAATTCAGAGATGTAATGAAAACAACAGTATCTAATAGACTTTGTGTATTACATGATGCAACAATCATTTCATATTTTTGTATAGCTTAATTCATACAAAAATATATGACAGTGCTTCACAGCCTACTATAATCTGTAGAGTTCATTAAAATATAACTGGTTACCAATAGACTGGCACACAAGACAGACCATCTCTTCATAAAAAGGGTGGTGTCATGAACAGGCATTCACCCCATACAAAGAAACAGCACTAATTAACACTGATTTGTCCCTCATTCAGTCCAGAAGGGTTCTCAGCAGAGAGGGCAAAGACTATCAAGTCTTGGAGGCTGAATTCAATTAGCCTTTTATTGCCCAACATATTTCCTTCAGGAAAAGGACTAAGAAAAATGAATGAAGAGATGCAAGAAACATTGTAACATTTCTACTTCTACTGAACCTGGGATTTTAGATTCCAGAACTATCTATCCCATGTCTTTCATAAGCATTCAGTTGATTATACAATATATTAGATTCAAAGTATTATCTGCATAGTGAATCAATGACAATAGTGAATAATTACATAGCTAAACATGCAGTGTACAAAATATTTAGCACCCACAGATTTTCAGTGACATCCTATTTTATAGATGAAGTAAAAAAATAGTTAAATATTAACAAAAAACACACCCGAAATGATAACATTATTACAACAAGAGTATGTCATAGGTTATGCTTTTACAATTATACAATTTTAATTGTTTCTGATATATTCTATCTATGGAACTAATACACTTTTGTTTTTGAGCTACTGCTAAGGAGGTCTTGGTTGTTGGTTTTGTTGTTTTTTTTAATCAAAGATACTTTGTTCTAAGTACTTACTGAGTAATACTAAGAGTTAGTCAATATTTGTAGCTTGTCCTTTCACTTAATATAACAAACCTTTTCCATGCCTTGTCTGCCTCTGTCAATGTGGTAATGGTATCACATCCTAAAATGCACCCAATTAAAGTAGGCAAAGCAGTTCTGGAAACTTCATCTACAAAGCTACATGTGGCCAGCTATGGAAACTCGGGACCATATATACATTTATATATATATGGGGGGTGGATGGTGGAGGGATTTGAGTGATGAATAAAGATAAGTATATAGCCACCAATTCAGCTCTTTCGTCTCCTCCTCCTCCACTCATTTTCCTAGAATAATGGGATAACAGAGTCCATGTGAAGAACAGCCCAAAAGCAAGAGCAGCATACCCACAACTTGCTTACCCATCTACAGATTGTGTACATCAGAAATTTACCTTTCCAGTAAAATCACCCAACACAACAATTCTTAAAGGTGGATCAACAAGATTTATTATTTAATAAATAAATAAATAAGATCGTAAATCAGTGATGTAATTTGAAATTAAGCCAAAATATGTCAATACACATGACTCTCAGCAATAGAGAATGTATCCTATGTGAAACTCTGTATTCACATACAAAGAACTGAGTTGAAGATCCCTTGTTTCCTCTACAACAGTGGTTTTCAACCTTTTTTCATTTGCGGACCTGTACAGTTTCAAATGGAGGTGCAACCCCCTTTGAATTGTAAGTGTGGGTATTCACATACTTTTGATTGATCACAGTCATCTTTCACGGATCCCTTAGACACAGTTTGTGGATCCTCAGGGATCCATGGACCACAGGTTGAAAACCACTGCTGTACTAGAGTTAATGCCTCATAAAGGTTCTCTATGCAAGTAAGTACCCAACCTTATGAATACCATCTTTCAGGTGACTACTGTGTGCTTTTTCCTTTACACAAAAGAGGACTTAGTATTACCCCAAGAAGCTTGCAATCTTCATAAAA